TGGTCTTTTTGAGACAGGGCCTTCCTATTCTGCTCAGGCTGGCCCTGAGATACTTTGTAGCCCAGACTGGACCTGCCTCCCCAGTGCTAGGAATACAGGCGTGCACCATCCCGTCAAACTAATGTTTCTGTTTTAATATTTAGATATTTGATCCATTTCAAATTTAGTTGAGTGCATGGTAAAAGATAGTGGTACAGTTTTAGTCTTTGGCATGTGCAGAGGCAGTTTGTCTATCACCATTTATTAAAGAGGCTATCTTTTTTCTTTGGAATGTGTTTGGCACCTTGTCAAAGATAAGATGGCTGAATATATGTAGAGTAGTTTCTGCATCTTCAAATCTGTCCCATTGATCATCAGGTCTTTTTTTTTTTTTCCAGTACCATGGTTTTTTAAATTATTTTTTAAAATGTATTTAGAACAATGTCTACAGGGTCTCACTACGTAGATCAGACTTGCAGTGATTCCCTGTTTTCAGCCCTCCAAGTGCTGGGATCATAGGTACACGTCACCCTACCCAGTCTCAATGGCCATGTCAGCATGCACACCGGGGATTGAACCCCAGCTGCTCCACTCTGCCTAAGCAGGCACTTTACTATGCCGAGCTGTCTGGCTGGGCCCAATACCATGTTTGTTTGTTTTTGTTATTTCATGCATAGTAGTTTTGTAGTATAATTTCAGTCAGGGATTGTGATGCCCTTGCCTTGCCTTTGTTGCCCAGAATTGCCTTTGCTATTCTATTCAAGGTCTCCAAATGAATTTTAGGATTATTTTTTCTAATTCTGTGAGATATGCTATTGGAATTTATTGTATGGCCATTTTCACTTAGGTTCTTCCTACCTAAGATCAACGAATATCTTTCCATTTTCTGATATCCTATTCAGTCTCTTTTTGAGAGTACTGTAGTTTTCTTTTTTCTTTTTATTTATTTTTATTTATTACATTTATTTATTGTGTGTGTGTGTGTGTGTGTGGCCAGCTCAGCCCACAAGGGGGCGGGGCTGGCTGGCATGTGGTGCTGGGGGATCGAACCGCGGTCCCTGTGCTTTGCCAAGCTTGTTTCAAGTAGGTGCTTTAGACCACTGAGCCATCTCTCCAGCCCCGGGAGTACTGTAGTTTTCAATGTTGAGATCTTTCACATCTCTTGTTAGATTGATTTCTAGGTATTTCATTTTGGATGCTATTGTGAAAAGTGCTATTTCCCTAATTTTTCCTCTCACAGTGAGTTTGTCTTTTTCCTAAGCTAAGTAAACTACTTTTTACACTTGGATATAGAAGAGTTTCCAGACCAGACTAGAAGCCTTGCCTGATTGGTTTTTAGGATTAATATTGGTGCCTAGTGTGAAGCACTTAAATCATTATTCTCAAACTTTAAAATTTGTTATACCATTTTTGGTTGGGTAAACAGTCTTGTGGTCCTTCCTGGATGTCAGGTTTTTCCTTTTAAAATAGGCTTTTAGGGGCTGGGTAGATAGCTTGGCAGTCTAAGTGCCTTCTTGGCAAGTGCAAGGACCTGGGTTTGATCCCCAGTACCACATGCTGTGCTGGCCCTGGAACCAGGGGTGGTGGCACACACTTGTAATCTCAGCACTGGGGATGTTGAGACCAGAGAATCGCTACAAGTCCGAGATGCATAGCAAAACCCTGTACCAAATAAATAAATAAAAGATTTTAAAAAATAGGCTTTTATGGCATCATTGCTTTCTTTTGATACAGGGTCTCGCTCCTTATAGTGATCCTTCTGACTCAGCCTCCCTAGTGCTGGTATTACAGGTGTGTACCACCATGCCCGGTTCCAGGGCCTGCATGGCATGCAGTACCAGGAACCTTGTGCTTGCCAGACAGCACTTAGGCCACTGAGCTGTATCCCTGGCCCTGTGGCATCATTTCAAAAGGGACTTTGTTGTTTTATTTACTATCAAGTCTGAATTATTTATTGTGTGTGTTCAGGAAAGTACCCCCTTGAAGACATGGCTAATATGGCTTTGCTTCCTTTTCTCTGGTTAATTCATGATATCTTTTATTTATTTATTTATTTATTTATTTGTGTGTGTGTGTGTGTGTGTGGCCAGCTCAGCCCACCAGGGGGCGGGGCTGGCTGGCATGTGGTGCTGGGGATTGAACCGTGGTCCCTGCGCTTTGCTAAGCTTGTTCTAAGTAGGTGCTTTAGACCACTAAGCCATCTCACCAGCCCCTCATGATATCTTTGGAACAAATTCTTCTTGGCTTCTTAGCATTTTAGTCTTCAGTTCACTTCTTTTGATACTGCCTGGTGATCTAGTGGTTAGGATTTGGCACTTAGTTCACTGTTCTTCCTTTATTTTTTTTAAGTTAGGGTCTCAAAATTAATAATAAAAATAAGTTAGGGGCTCACTATACAGTTGAAGCTGGCCTAAAACTTGTTTTAATCTTGAGGCCTCAGTCTCAGAAGTGCTGGGATTACAGGTATATGCCACTATACTTGGCCAGGAAATATTTTTAATGGGCAAAGTGCCCAGCTGTTCACTTCTTTTTAAGAATTTCATTATTTTAATTTTTGGTGGTACTGGGGGTGGAAATGCAGGTCTCATACTTTCTAGGCAAGGACTTTTTTATCACTGGGCTATATTTCTAAACTTGTACCTTTTTCCTTTTTTTTTTTTTTTTTTTTGGTGGTACTTTTACTGTTTTTAGGGTCCTACAGATTATTTTTAGGGATTCTTTCCAGGTTCTTGGTGTCCAGAAGTACACTCTGCAGAGTGAAAGCAGATAGCTGAGAGTTCATAGTGGCCAACCAGTTGATGGGGGCAGGCAGTCTTTTGTGGCACTCATTCCTCAGCCTCCGTAACATCTAGGCCTTCCTATCAAAGATTTGTGTTTTTGCACAAGATGTAAATGAAGAAGATAGCTCTTTCTTTTTTCTTTTGGTCTTTTTGAGACAGGTTTCACTCTGCAGTTCAGGGTGGCCTTGAAGTCACTTTGTAGCTGAGGCAGGGCCCCAAACTCACAGAAGTCTTCCAGCCTGAGCCTCCTGAATGCTGAGATTACAAGAGATAGCACTTTCCTTTTGTGTGTATGTGTGTTGGGAGGTGGGTAACCAAGAATCAAATTCTGGACCTCATGCTTACCAGGCAGGTACTGTGCACCTGAACTAAATCCTTGGCTGAAGATAGTACTTTCTGACTGGTCTGAGGTGCAGGGTTTGGAAACTGTGTTCTGGGTCTTTGTAATTTAGGGGTCATGCCCACTTGTCAACCCTACCCTAATCTCCTGTCTCAGTACTGGGAATTGTATTTAGGACCTCCACATGAGCTATAACCCCAAGCCTTTTAAAAATATTTATTTATTTGGTATCAGGAACTGAACTCAGGACCCTGTGCTTGCCAAGCAGGTGCTTATGCCGATGAGCAATCTCCCTGGCCCCTAATGTATTTATTGATTGAGACAGGGTCTTGCTATGCAGTTCAGGCTGGCCTTGAACTTATGGTGATCCTCTTGCCTCAGCCTCCCAAGAGTTGGGATTACAGGTGTACACCACCACAACAGGCTACCAAGCCTTTTTAATTTTTTAAAAAACATTTATTTATTGTGTGGGGCGGGGCCAGTTCAGCCCACCGGGGGGTGGGGCTGGTTGGCATGTGGTGCTGGGGGATTGAACCACGGTCTCTGTGCTTTGCTTTGCTTTGCTTAGCTTGTTCTAAGTAGGTGCTTTAGACCACTGAGCCATCTCACCAGCCCTCCAAGCCTTTTTAATTTTAAGACAAGGTCTCATTGAATTGCCCAAGCTCGGTTTGAAGCTTCCGCTTTTTTTTTTTTTTTTTTTTTTTAGGCAGAACGGGATTAAACTCAGGCCCTTGCATTTGCCAGGGAAGCGCTTATTCCACTGAGCTATCTCCCCGCCCTTGAAGCTTCATTTCTTTTTCCTCAACCTCCTGGAGTGCTGGGATTACAGATATGTGCAGTGACCACACCCAGAATTCTCTTAGTTTAATCCTATATTTATAACTTGTCCTAAAGACGAAGTTTAAACCAGGAGCTACCATAACTTGTCACGAACCATTTTTCCAACATTATTCCAGTTATCTAGCGAAGCCCTCCATTAAGGAGTGCCAGGTTGATTTGCCTACCCCCAGATGCATTCCAGTTTTGTTTCTATGTACAGGCCTGTCTCTATACTGAAATTGCATTCCTCTGCCAAATTAGAACATACCTATCCTTTAATTCTACATCTTCTGTGAATGTTCCCTAGTACTAAACCCCAGAGTAGCACTTTTCTCCCTGTAATGTTTAGCATTTAAAGTACTTAAATTTGTATATATGATGTCCTATGCTTTCTTTCCTGTTGTAGTTTTTGTTAGATTTGGTTTTAGTGATGATCTTTTTTCCTTACCACATTGTAAGCAACTAAAAGGCTAGGATACTGAATTACATATATTGTGTATTTTCCTAGTTTTTGCAGTAGGTAGGCAATAAGTAAATACTTGTGAAATGAGTGGATAGCAATATATATTGAAGAAAAATAATGTATCATGATCTTTAGTGTTTAGATATTTACTGTGATAGCAGATGCACTTGATTTGTTTGTTTGTTTTAGCCAGGGTCTTGCTATGTTGCTGTTTTTGAGGCTGGCCTTGAACTCACCGTGTAGTCCATTTAATGGTCCCTTGTGAGGGCCAGCCAGATAGCTCAGCGGATTAAAGCACCTGCAAGCAGGCATGGGGCCAGGAGTTTGGATCCCCTGGCCTGCTGTGCTGGCCCCAACCCAGGGACCACTGAGCCAGTGATTGAGACTGGGTGTGGTGGGCATGCTGGTGTATGCCTGTAATCCCAGCTCTTGGGAGGCTGTAAATAGGCGGATCACTATGGATCACTATGAGTCTGATCTAGTACTGAGACCTTGAATACCCTGTAGAGTCTTCCCTGAAATACAAAAAAATAAAAATAAATAAATAAATAAATAAATAAATGGTCCCTGTGAATCTGAGAACCACATGAGATTCACTAATGTAGACAAACACAAAGTTTCTTGTAGTATATACACAGTGTATAAGTATACTGGTTAGAACAGCATGCTCTGGTAGAACTTTGTATGGTCATGGAAGTGTTTTGAATCTGTACTGATCAGCTAGGAGTCAAAAACGTCACTTGAAATGTAACGGGTAAGGCCAGGGTTATAACTTGTGCTCGGTGGCACAAGCGCCTGCCTAGCAAGTGCAAGGTCCCGAGTTCAATTCCCGTTACCAAAAAAAAAAAAAGACACTAAAAAAAAAAAAAGTGACTAGTGCAAATGAAACACTGAATTTCCAAGTTGAAGTAGTGACATGTAGCTAGTGTTAACTGTGTTGGATAGTGCACAATTAAAATGTCTGCCATAGGGATTAGGGAGATGGCTCAGCAGCATAAGTGCTTGCCTGGAAAGTACCAGGTCCTGAGTTCCATCCCTGGCATCCATGCTGAGCTGGTCCTGGGAACCAGGTGTGGTGGTACTGCCTGTAATCTCAGCACTCAGGAGGCTGAGACAGGAGGCTCTGCAAGTTCAGAACTGGCCTGGGAGCTACAAAAGTGAGCACAAGAAAAGCCCAAACTGCATAGGGAGACCCTGTCTCTAAAAACATAAAAATGAAATTAAAAAAATATGTGCCATAGCACTTGGTTTGTGGCTTCAACCATAGTTTTGTTCCATTAATACTAGCCGAGAGGGGTTGTATAATCTAATACAAACATTGCTGTGAATGAGAAAGAGACACATAGTTACATTAATTGCTTTATTTTTTCAGGCTGGATCTCCAGAACTGTTCTCTGAAGGATCCTGGTCCAAACTTTCCTCAGGCATATACTGCTGTTATTGTGTAAGTGAATAGGTACCCTTCTGCCCCAAAGTTGAACATAGTGACATGTTGGAGACTTTGTACATGCAGTATTAAAGAGAAAGATGAATGTTAAGATCTAAACTTGGACAGATCAGAAAAATGACTGGATTATTAGTCCAGGAAAGTATGTGAAAGCAGTTTTCCTGAGTCCTAAGAATGTGTGCTTTGCAGAGATCTTCAAACAAACCCCCTGAAGGCTGACTTGGGCAACACCTTCCGTGGCTTTACCCAGCTTAAGACTCTGTGAGTAGTAGCATGGTGGAAGAGGACCCGAGAGGGGCATTGCTATGTGTTCAGTAACTTTGGGCTGGAGTGAACTCATACAAGCTAAGTAAGCATTTGTTCTAGCACTTACTTCCTCAGGCTGTGCATTCTGACCATTGTCTGTAGGATACTGCCACAAGCTGTCAACTGTCCTGGAGGTAATAATACCTGGGAAAATGTGAGCATTCATGTAAACAGCAAAATCTGCGAAGGGCAAAAGAACCTCTGCAATGGCACTGTGGGATTAGGTATGGCGTCCACCTTTCTGGGGATTTATTTTTCTTCTCTATATTCTCCACTTTAGATCAGAAAGATAAAAATAGTTAAATGCCTTTTGTTCAGAGTTCTGAGATCCTAACCCCTTGAAAAGGTATTGTTATTGTCATGTTCTGGTATTTGTAATCTTTTGACCAAGAAATGATTGAGAGACTCTTAAGTTGAAGCAGATATTTGAGAAATATACCTAATGAGATACTGTGATGTTCCTTATTTCTTTGGCTCCCAGAAATGTGTCCTGAAAATGGATCTTGTCTATCTAATGGTCCTGGTCTCACTCAGTGTACTTGTTCCGATGGCTTCCGTGGATACAAGTGTATGCGTCAGGTAAAGAATTAGATCTTTTTATTAGGGATAATGGGGTTTCTAAGGCAAGAATCTTTCTGAAAAGAGAGCTACAAAATGGTGAGCTGGTGTCAGTCACCTAGGGGAGGAAAACAGTACGTTACGAGCAAAATACTGGTGTTAGGATGTAGCCCGCCGTGTAATACTTTTTCCCTGTTAATCACAGGGCTCCTTCTCACTGCTTATGTTCTTCGGGATTCTGGGCTCCACCACATTGTCCATTTCCTTCCTGCTCTGGGGAACTCAACGCCGAACAGCCAAGAGTTCCTGAACCAAATAAGGCTTCCTGCTGATCTGCGATCTTCCTGAGCGGTTTTAGCGCAGCCAAGGAGATTTGCTTCCCTGACAGGCCTCATTGGGCAGTGGCACCGCCTCGCTGCTGAGGCTGCTTTGGAAGGAAGATGGAAAATTGTGCTACCCTGGAGTGTGGTGAAACCTGTGTAGTTCTCATTTGTACTATTGACTATAATAAACACTTGGTTTTTCCCCCTTTTTTCCCATTTTCGTTTTTAGGAAATGTTCTCCCAGTGTTCCTACGCATCGATCTAGGGAGGCTGCCCTTAAGCGATAGGGTTTTTCAGGTCCTCTGGGCGTGGGAGCCGCAGGGCAGCATCGCCCCGCCTTGTCCCGCCCCACCCCGCACGTCAGCCCCTCCCCGCACGCTGCCGGCTGCCTGCGCCGCCGCAGTGGTTCTCCGCCCAGTGCGCCTGGAGCTGCTGACTGGTACGCCCTCCTTCCCGAGCGTCCCGCGCAGCGAGCCACGTGGACGGACTCTGGCGCGCTGTCCTTGCGTGGTTTCAGTGGGATCGCCGCACCCCTGCCGCAGTTTTTGACCCGGTTCCGTACCCATGGCGGCTCTGGTCCTGGAGGATGGGTCGGTGCTGCCGGGCCGGCCGTTTGGGGCGGCCGTGTCGACTGCTGGCGAAGTGGGTAAGCAAGCCTGCGCTAGCTTCCAACCTCACCCGACTCTGGTGCTCCTCTCTACCCAGCCCGCGCTGCCCAGCCCCTGCCTGCCGGCTCCTTTACCCTCCTTCGTAGCCCATGGCCCAGCCTCTTCCGTCCTTCATTACCAAGGCAGCCTGCCACAGGGTAGGATCCCAAGGGGTGCCTTTGCCTCAGCCCAACCCGCCCTTGTTTTGCAGTGTTCCAAACCGGCATGGTTGGCTACCCCGAGGCCCTCACCGACCCCTCCTACAAAGCACAGATCTTAGTGCTAACCTATCCTCTGATCGGTAACTACGGTGTCCCTTCGGATGCACAAGATGAGTTCGGCCTCAGCAAGGTAGCAGCACTGCTTTCTCTACATTCTTTCTCTCTCTCTCTCGCTCTCTCGCTCTCTCTCTCGCTCTCTCTCGCTCTCTCTCGCTCTCTCTTTGTTTTTGCCCGACAGGGTTTCACTCTGCAGTTCAGTCTGGCCTTGAACTCGCCTTTTAGCTCAGGCTAGCCTCCAACTCAAAGTGATCCTCCTGCTTCAGCTTCCCAAGTACTGGAATTGCCTTGCAGACGTGCGCCACCACTCCCAGCCTACTACATTCCTTATCAAATCAGTGGTTAAACTGATCATCATGGTGCTTACCTGTAATCCTAACACATGGAGCTGAAATGGAAAGATCTTAGTGAGGCTAGCCTGGGTTGCATGGTGAGACCTCCTCTCAGCCCTCTCCCCAAAATCAGTAGGAGTTAACTATTAAATAGATGTTGAGGTCCGCTAGTCAATTTAGAGAAAACAAAGCTACAATAAGTGCTAAGACTGAGAGAGAGCTTACCTACCTAGTACTAAGACAGAGTTAGAAGCCAAGTGTGGTGACACATGCTTGTAATCCTAGTGCTCTGGAGGGAAACCGAGGCAGGAAGTTCACTGTGAGTTCAAGGCCAGTCTGAACTGCATAGTGAAACCCAATCTCAAAAAGACCAAACATGCACACACACAAAACACAGAGAGCTTAAGAACCTCACTAGACACAGAGTGCAGAGGCCTCTCAGGCATACCTGCCTCAGAATGAAGGAAGGCCTGGATCCAGGAAGTGGCAGAGAGTTAAAGGGAACAGTTGTCCAAATTGCTAAGAAAGCAAAAGTTCGGAAGAGCCTACAGCTAAGTTTCAGAGGGCATAAAAGGCCTTGAAGCCAAGCTAGAGCCTGGATGTACTCAGGGAACCATGGAAGGTTTTCTAGCAGCAGAGTCATTTGAGAAGCCAGTGCTGTCCAGCTACATGAATTAGTGAGAAAGAGACTAGAAACTAATGTCACACCTTTTCCCATTGATGGGTGTCAGTTTACCAACAAACCAGTGACTGATTATTGTTCTCCAGACTTCTTCTATTGTCTTGTTTTGTACTTTTCAGTAATGTTCTTGCCTCTGTGTTGAAAAGTTCATTTTTGTCCCACAATGAGGTTTCCCCTTGTGCTCTGGAATTTAAAGCTAAGTTGACCTTTAAAAGTTGAAATTTACATATTTTTCATCTTTTTGAGACAGGGCTTTACTCTGCAGTTCAGGTTGGCCTTGAACTCTGTAGCAGTCCCCCTGCCTCAGCCTCCTGAGTGCTGGGATTACAGATGTGCACCACCACACTCAGCAGAAAGTTAAAATTTAAAAGGTCAACCTATAGCAGTTAGGATAGTAGTGGAAGTCACCATGGCCTAGATTTAATACAGATATTTCTCATGTAAAGACCTACCAATTTAAGGACTGGTTGGATTTACAATCCACTACTCAGACCTACAACCTGTCTTTTTTTTTTTTTTTTTTTTTTACATATGTTGTTTATAGAGCCTCAGTGTCTTTTTGTACAATGCACTTTTTTATATGCTATGATAATTTTTGCCGATTGTATAGTACAGTACTGTAACTATGTTAAACATTACAGTACTGCTTGTAAGTTATGCAAACAAAAGCAACGTCATCAAGTTGGACTTTTCTTTGTTCTGAATTTTATAATGAACATACTGTATGCAGTTCTTCATTTATTGATCAACTGAAGCAATGACCTAGTTGTGGGAATGGAACTAAGTCATTAAGTAAGAATTGCCTGGGGCTGGGGGGATTGCTCAGTAGAATAAGCGCTTGCCAGCAAGTGCAAGGGCCTGAGTTCAATCCCTGGTTTCCGCAAAAAAAAAAAAAAAAAAAAAAAATTGTCTATATTCCTCAAAACTTGCTTTGTCTTGCTTTCAAGTCTGCTGAGCTTTGTAGTTCTTAATTTGCCTTTCTAGTCACCATGTTATTGGGAAAAAGGAGCTCTAGGTAAGGGACCCAAATATTGTTCTTGGGAAGGACCCTTCTTGATTATAAAATTCCAGTGTAGTTTATAATGCATGTGTTTTTTTAATTTATCTAATATATGTCAGTTGTAAGCTTTGTCAGATCTAGGCCCACTGACAAAACTGAGTTTATAAAACTGCAAAATTGAAACCCTGGTAGGGTGAGGCCTCCTAGAACTACTACCTCAACCCTGGCACTTTTGTAGCACATGTGCTATAATGACTGTGGGTGTGCATGGGTTGCTCTACTTGGTGGTGAGGAGTGGGAGGGCCTGCTAAATGTCCCTCCAGTTCCTGAAGGCTCGGGAGCTGAGTCTCAGCATCCATCTCTGAACCTTTTACCAGCTGAGCTAAATGTGCTGCTCTTTCCCATATAAATTTCTTGCTCTTCTATTTACTTATTAAGTGCTTGTCTAGTAAACACTGTTTAAGTAACAATTTTGTATTATTTCTTTTGTTTGGTTTTGATTTTTTTGGTACCTGAACTCAAACTCAGATTCTTGTGCTTGCCAGGCAGGCAGGCACTTGTGCCACTGAGTTCTAGCCCCAGCCCTATTATTTATTTTTAAATCTTAATCCCAAATGAAGTTGGAAAGGGATATTATCATGTCTTGTATTGTTCCCTGAGGCTTTATTTGTTAATAACATCCTGTACCTATCTATCTCCTTAGTGTTTTTATTGCACCATATAATTAACATCTTATGTACATGTTTTCTTTTTAGTTTCTGGCTTTCTAAATCATGAAGACAGGGCCCCTGTTTTTTCTTATTCAGTGCTTTTTCTTTAGCATTATTTGTTCATTTGTTTTGGAGACAGGGCCTTCCTGTATATTCACTTGTCTTGAACTTCCTGTGTGGCCCACATTGGCCTCAAATCTTGATCTCAGCAGAGGGATCCCTAAGTACTGGGATTACAAGTGTTACCACCATGCTCAGTGTCTTATTATACACCTGCACTTAGTAGGCACTCAGTAAATATTTGTTAACTGACACCATGTATCAGGCACTTTGATGCTGAGAATTTCTGTTTTGTAAGGAGACACACATACTCATAACAATGTAACTAGCAAGAAGATGTGGGGATAAAGTATTCAGTTCTCAGGGAGAGGTACAAGTTGCAGTGCGTTAGTGGGGTGCCTTCATTGAAAAAGGGATCTATGATCTCTTTTGAATAAGGGAAATACAAGAAAACATGAAATTGCCATTTTTAGTTCCTAGTTGGACACCCTAGACTTGTGTTTTAGCATTTAGTATAGGGCAGAACAAAAAGCAGGC